ATTACACAGTCTGTGGCCCAGACCCTGGGCCACAGACAGAAAGCTTGAGAGGTCAGGGGTGGGGTGCTGGTCATTGAAGAAGCACAGGCAGAGGTTTCCCTTTCCTCTCATTTGGGGGTTCTGGGATGATGGTGATGATGATGATGATGGCAACGGTGGCTATCATTTACTGAGCGATCATTCTCTAGCAGGCTTTAGATGAAGCACATTGCTTAGGATAATATACGTAATTCTCCTAACCACCCCTGAGATTAACGCAAATTTAAAGTTGCCACTCCTGGTGAGTCTCCAGGACATTACTCTGGTCTAATTTTCCTCACAACACTTATCGTTAACTAAAATTAGATCATCTACCTACTTGTTTATGATCTGTCTCCCCCAATTAGACCCTAAGTTCCATGGGAGCAGAGTCTTATCTTGTTCTTGGCTGATTCTCTTGTGCCTTGAACTGCCAAAGAGCAAACATGCCATGGGCCCATTTAACAGATGAGGACTTAGGCTGCCAAGGACTCCATGCCTGACCCAACACACAGTTCCCAAAACTGTGAGTGGGACTCCAGTGCCACTTCCTCCCATGGTGCTATAGGTTCTGCTGTGCACTGATCTCCCAGAGAGCTGAGGTCGAAAGGTTGCCCAAGTCCAAGGCCTTGCCCCTGCCTTCCCCCTTTCCCCTTCATCCTGTGGTATCTCAGGCGTCCCACCTTGGACAAGGACACTCATAGAGAGGTTGTGTGGGCCCTAGGAGAGTGACCTCATGGGACCGGAATCTCCTGGCTCCCCTTCCCTCTGGATCTGCTGCCCATGAATGAGGCTCTCATTTTTTCTTGAAACCCTTTACACATTTATCCTATATTAACTCCTGGCACAAAAATAAATATGGATTTTTTTTTCCTCTTTGTCACACAGTGGCTCCAAAACCCTGATTTGCAATCTTTAAGATGGCAGAGAGCCCAAAGGTCTCAGATTTCAGGAATTCATTACACAAATCAAGGTGAATTCTACCCATAACCAAGGCTTTCTAGCAGCCCAATGCTTCATGTGGAACATGAGGGTGATGGGGGATGCAGGCAGGTGTGGGGATGAGAAGTCTCCCAGCTCCTGGCTGGAGGCTCGTGGTTGGCCTCTTGCCTTCTTGTTCTTCTTCCTCCTGCCTTATGTGGGTGGGAAATTCCTTTCTGCCCTGCAGCAGAGAACTGGCACAATGTAATGCAGAGGATGGAAATTTCCAGAACAGGAAAGATCTGTAGACCAAGGACCAGCACTGGGGTGAAGAAGCTGCATCTGGGGGACCCGGGGTAGGGGTGGGGAGAGGAGAGTGGAGTAGGGGCTGTCCAAGAGGTTCAAGTCAAAGCTGAGCCTCCATTCCTCACTGGCAGAACAACCTTGAGAAAGTAGGGGGTGTTGTCTGTTTAAGTCTCAGCTTCTCCCACAGAGGGGGATGATATGCCTGTTTCTCGGGGCTATTGTGTGCAGCAGGTGATACCTGACACGCAAAAACAGGTGACATCATGTCTGCCCATGGGAAGCGCTTGAGGTAGCTGCTGTACATCAAGGCCTCACACTGAGGGATCCCCACAGGGTGGCCTGGAGACGGGCCTGGGTCAGAGAGGCCTCCCAGAGACAGAGAAAACAGGAGCTGTTCTTTCATTTCCTGTAGCTTTACAATAGCCCATTAGGGGATATATATATATATATATATATATGTGTGATTTATTTATTTTCATGGGAAAGGCAGATTTACAGAGAGAAAGATCATCCGTCACCAGGTTCATTCCGCGCGTAGCCACAATGGCCAAACTGAGCTGATCTGTAGCTAAGAGCCACAGGTGCAGGGTTCCAAGGCTTTGGGCCATCTTCCACTGCTTTCCACAAACAGGGCCTGGATGGGGAGTGGAACAGCTGGGACACAAACCAATGCCCATATGGGATCCTGGCTCCTCCAGGGGGAGGATTGGTCTAATTATATTTAAATTATAAAAAATGTTTTAAGATTTATTTTATTTTTATTGGAAAGGCAGATTTACAAAGAGAAGGAGAGACAGAGAGAAAGATCTTCCATCTGCTGTTCCACTCCCCAAGTGGCTGCAGTGGCCGAAGCTGAGACAACCTGAAGCCAGGAACCAGAAGCTCGCTCTGGATCTCCCATATGAGTGCAGGGTCCCAAGACTTTGGGCCATTCTCCACTGCTTTCCCAGGCCACAAGAAGGAAGCTGGATGGGAAGTGGAGCAGCAGGGACATGAACTGGTGCCTATGTGGGATCCTGGCACATGCAGGGCAAGGATTTAGCCACTAGGCTATTGTACCAGGCCCAAATTATTACGAATTTCTTAGAATGAGAGTCCTGTGTGCTGGTTTATCTTCAAATCCCCACAATAGTCGAGGGTTGGCCTAAGTTGGGTTTCCAACATAGATGGAAGAAGCCCTTTTACCCAAGATGCAATGCTAGGTAAAGCCCGGGACAGCTCAGGGACCACTGCCTCCTGGGCCTGCATTAACCAGGAGTTGCCCTTGGGAGTTAGGGCCAGGCAGACACATCCATGCAACGCAGGTGTCAAGTTCTTGGCCAAACACCTGCTCCTCACACTTATACTTTGTAAAGGGAGAGATAACTGGTGACTCATCAGAGCTGTCCCAGCATCACCAGACTGGAGCTCCAGGCCTGACAGGCCCCTGGCTTACAGCACAGCCATGCTTGTGTAGAGTGGCAGTCCCTCACAGTCCTGCCAGCTCCCAGCTGGCCTGGAGGACCGTAGTGGTACCCATGTTTAAGCATTCATGCACTAGGGCCTGCTCTGAACCTTCTGCCTGAGCACCCATTTTATTTCTTACAGTCTTAGACTGTGGGTGTGTTCTGAGACCGGCTTTCTTGGGAGGTAGCAGGCTTCCGGGGGCGGTGTCGGTGAAGGGCACCATCAAACATTTCCCTGTTTCTCCCAGGCCCTTTGGGCTTGGATGTTTCCATCAGCCTATGGCTAGGCAGGCACAAGGGTGGTCACCACACACTCCTCCAACCCCAGCCCGGGAGATGGCTGAGAGTAACCTCTTCTTGCCTCTTTGCCTGTGGTTCCTTGATTTATGGCAGCAGAAACTCGGGGTGTGCCCTCCTCTCTGCACCCCTAGGACAGGAAGGTTTCTGTCGCCTCTCCTTCCTGTGTGACAGCTCCTGCTCTCTCACTCCCTCGGAGAATATCCGTGGTCCAGGGGAATGAGAGCGGCTGCCCTGTTCTTCTTGCCCACCCACCAGGATGTGGTTTCTCTGCTGGGGTGAGGACCGCCCTCCTGTCAAGGCCAAACCAGCCGGGCAGCCAAGTGGGCATCAGGAGGCTTCAGGCCCAGGGTAGCCCAAGTTGAGCTGGATGGTCTGAGGCGTACTTACTCCCCTCTGCAAGTGGGAGGAGGCGTCTGCCTTGCAGTGTCTTGGAAGGGACAGAGTGAACAAGTGGGAGAATATTCAGACACGTGGATGTGCACAAAGTGGCAGCTGGCATCATTCCTGCATCCCTTGGACAGGGGAGTCCCACAGAGAAGGGGAGGCTTTGGGCCACCAGGAGACCAAACGGTTTCTACTTCCTCCCAGGGAGCTCTTTTGCCAGCCTGGCCAGCATGACTCACTCTGCTCTAAAGATGAGCGCAGTCAGAACCCTTCACTCCTTCGCCTTTGCTCCTGACTAGAGTGTGAACCTTACCCGTGATCCCTAGCGGAGGTCCCCAGAGAACAGCAGCAGTGAAACTATTAGAAGGGCGAATTCTGAATCAACCCAGACCTTGAGAGCTGTGCTATGAGATGGGGCCCAGCAGTCTCTGCTTTATCTGTAAAAGATTTACTTATTTCTTTAAAAGGCAAGAGTTACAGAGAGGGGAGAGACAGAGATCTTCCAGTTGCTGATTCACTCCCCAAATGATTGCAGTTCAGAACTAGGCTGGTCTGAAGGCAGGAGCCAAGCGCTTCTTCCAGATCTCCCACATGGGTAGTAGGCCCCATGAACTTGAGCCAGCCTCTGCTGCTTTCCAGGTCATATGCAGGGAGCCAGATGGGAATTGGATTATCCAAGTCTCAAACCAGTACCCATATGGGATGCCAGTGCTGTGGGCGGTAGCTTAACCTATTGTGGCACAATAGTTTCTTTTTTTCTAATCTTCAGTTTCCTCCACTGTGAAACAGGAATAATAAAAGTAGCTGCCTTACGGGGCAGGGAGGTGGGAGTGGGCTGTGATTCAGTGAGATGGGAACTGACTTAGCTCAGCACCCAGGACCCAGCCTTTGCTCCACACAGTTTGCATTGTCCTCAGAGCTGTTCTGTGTTGTGGTCCTAACCTCCCATCCCCCCACCAGCCCTGGCGCCCCATTTCTGATGGTTCTAATCTCCAGGGCTGAAGGTCCCCAGTCCAGGAGTGGTGTGTCCCCTCTAGAACACCCACTCTAGTGCCTGCCTGCGAGCCCGTTAGGCTGTGGTGCCAGTATCTGTGCCCAGCTTCTGCCTGTGTGCCCAGCAGCATGCAGCTCTCTTCCTGGCCTCCAGGCAGCTGCCGGGGTCCTGTGCTGTGAGCCCTGGTCTGAAAGCCATTTCCCAAGTTCAGATCCTGCCAGAGGATTTCTTCTCCCAGAATCCTTAAGTGCAGATGACTGGCAGCTCCCGCGACTCTTGGTATTTCAAAGAAGGCCTGCTGGGTAATCGGGGAATTTTATTCTCTGCAGTTGCTCACTGTCATTTCCTGTCCCTAATTATTCCTGATTCCCCTGGCATCATTAACTACCGTGGAGGTATTGTATTGAATCCTCTCTGTGTGGTTATGGTCTCAGCGGTGTCCACAGTTTCTCTGTGGTGGTGTTTGCCATCAATCTAGCTCTGCTGCCCCTTGCCGCCTAATGGTGGCAAAGGAAGGTTCTAGTTTTCCAAGGCCAGCACCTCTCTGAATTCCTGGGTGTAGCCCTAAGGTCACCCAATCACGGGCCTCCTGCTGGGACAGCCTGCCTTTGATGCTTCGGTTCTGTCTTCAGTTTCAGGTCTGTGAGATTGCTGAAGAATGACCCAGTCAACTTCCAGAAGTTTCCCTACACCAGTGAGGACGAGGCCTGGAAGACATACCTGGAGAACCCCTTGACAGCCGCCACCAAGGCCATGATGAGGGTCAACGGGGACGATGACAGCGTGGCCGCCCTGAGTTTCCTCTACGATTACTACATGGTGAGTTGGCTACTTAGTGACTCAGCGGCCAATCCTGATCCCACCCCCTTACCGCTGGGTCTCTGCACCCCTGCGCATGCTCTTCCCTCTGCCTGGTTGGCACCTTCCCCTTCAGCTTCAGTGGTTTAAACGTCCCCTCATTCATTTCTTCAGGAAGGAGAAAGGCTTTCTTGAGTTTCTTATTCCGAACCCCAGTGGGCACTCCTGCCAAGCAGCAGCATTGTGTGAGATCCCATCCTCAGACACTTGCTCTTCGTGTATTTATTGTGTATTTATTGCTTCATCTGCCCCCTATGACGGAGCTCCTAGAGGGCAGGAACCAAGTCCCCTACACCCCCATCCCCCACTTGCTGCACAACAGGCGTAGGTTGGGTGAATCCAGTGTCTGCTTTCTCATCTTCCTTGGGGTCCGACTAGGCCGCCTGCTGTCCTTCTTGCCTAGTCTTGCCCCACCACTTGGAAGATTCCTTCACTTCTCTTCCTCCAGGAAAGACCCACTCCTACAACACGGCACCTCACCTTCCGAATTCTCCTTCATGCAGTTTTACGTGCACTGTAGCATTTTCCCATTCTCTGATTGTTTCCGGGGCCTTGGCCTTGACTGTGGAAGATTGTGAGCTGCTGAGAATAGGAATTAAGGCCTTCCTGTGTCTGATCTGCTTGATCCAGTTAGCAGTCACAAATACATGGCACACATGAGCCAGCATTCCTACCCACTCCAGTGCCTACGTCAGACATTATGAATGGATTACATATAGCCTTCATTCTCACTGAGGATCCATGAAGCTGCAAAATCTTTGTCAATTTAGTACTCTGGCAAGCCTTACCCAGACCTAGGTTGTCACAAATCAATGATCCAACTTGCTATCTTTAGGCTTGGATAGCTCCAATAGACTTTCCTAGACTTGGAGGCAATGGGTTGTGGAATATGAATAGCCAATGGCTAAGATCATTGGCTTTGAACTTGAAGATTTAAAGCGAACTTATAAATAAACCTTCAGACTTACTGGGCCAAGAGTATTTCATCCACCCTGATTCAAAACGTAAAATCTCTGGAAAGAGTGTGTGAACCCCAAGGAGGTTGCCCTACTCTGTGGTTGCCCTACTCTCCTCTTTCCTCCCAATAATGTGATGGAAAAGGAATGTGAATGTGTTCTCCTCGTGGGGCCAGGTAGCAGCCAGAATTACAGGGTTTACAGTTCTAGACTGAACCATAAGATCCAGAACCATCTCCCTGGGCAGGAGGCCTTCCCCAGGGCTGGAGTGGTAGGGACAGGTCCTGGAGGTGATGCTGGTTCTTGATGAAGCACAATAGTGGTGGGCTACACCTGCCTTGTCCCCTGCCCCTGTAGTGGGGGTAGCCATGGGTAGCAAGTACATGGTGAAATGGGATGGGATGTTGGGAACTGTGGGCCCAGTGGTCCAGCCACACTTATGACTCCAAGTCCCATGGCATGGGGACAACCCTTCTGTGTTTCTAAGAGAACTCCCAGTACTGGGTTATTCTCCCACCTCACTCTCTCATGTGGGTGCTGTAAAACCCCACCTTCATGGTCCCTGGAGAGTTGGAGTCCTGGGTTGGGCCTTGTGAGCCCTCACTGGGGACAAGCGACCATCCTGAGAGAGAATGGTGCTGTCCTCCCAATGGGTGTGGCTACTTGGTGCCCCCTCCTTGGGGTTCACACACTGGAGGATATGTGGATGCCCACACATGCACAGCCACTTGCAAGATCTGTAGGAATAGAACACAGCCTGAACTTGAGAGTTCACACTCCTGGACACCAGAGTGGAGTCCATGCGTGAAGTCCACGCTGCTAGGCACCAGTCTCTCTGGGCCTCAGGTTCCTCCCTGTGTAATTCCTGGTGAGGCTGGAGCTAATGTGGCAGCGACCCTGGGAATCAAATTAGTCAACAAGAGCTGGTTTTCCAAGGCTCAGGACAAAGGCAGCCCTCTTTTAAGGAGTGTTTATTCATAAGTTTGCTAAACCCCTTGAGGCAGATGCGACAAATGAAGAACTTGGGTCTTTACAAGGTGCAGTCGTATAACCCGAATCACGAGGCAAAGCTGGTGCCCACGCTCCTTCACCACTGTGCCTGGCGGACCGCTTGCCGCTCCCCAACCAGGGCCTTTGGCCCACTGCTGGCTGGGGCTCCTAGCTGCTGGGAGGGCCCAGGGTAGCTCTGCTGCCTGCAAGACGCATGGGCGCAGTAGGGAAGCTGCCTCCAGCCAAAAAATGACCGAGAGCTGTGCATAATCCTGTCATTTCCTTTCTCTCAGGGCCCCAAGGAGAAACGGATCCTGTCCTCTAGCACCGGGGGCCGCAACGACCAGGGAAAGAGGTAAGGCTGGTCCGCAGCCCTCACCTCTGCCTTCTTGCCTTTCTGCACCTGCTTCCCCACCTGCCCCTCCCACCCCACCCCTTTAACCCATGAGTGCCTTACCCGTTAGACTCAGGGACAGGATCTAGGGTTCTCTGTACCTTTAGGGGCCCATGAAAGTGTTTTACTTTAAGATCAGTAGAGAAAAAAATGAATATAGTCTAGTGTGGGTTATATTTGTCTTTATGCCAGAGCAATTCCACAAGAGATTTTTGAATACTTTTAAAAAAGATTTATTTATTTTTATTGGAAAGGGAGATATACAGAGAGGAGGAGAAACAGAGGAAGATCTTCTTCCAATGGCTCACTCCCCAAGTGGCCACAATGGCCAGAGCTGAGCCAATCTGAAGCCAGGAGCTCAGAGCTTCTTCCAGGTCTCCCACACGGGTGCATGGTCGCAAGGCTTTGTGCCATCCTTGGCTGCTTTCCCAGGCCACAAGCAGGAAGCTGGATGGGAAGCTGGGCTGCCAGGATTAGAACTGACACCCATATAGGATCCTGGCACATGCAAGGCAAGGACTTTAGCTGCTACACTATTGTGCTGGGCCCTTGAATACTTTTGAAGGGGCTGGTGAAGGCAGAAGAGCCAGGGCCCTAGGAAGTCATTACAAAACTGTTTAAACACACACATATGTTGGTGGGCATGTATGCCCTGGTGTATGCACACACATGCTCACACACACTTGCACACATTTACAACTGTACACATGCTTACATATACTTTTGCACACACATATTCTCAACTATCTACATGCTTGGGTGCATATGTGTACACACACAGGTGTTTGCACACTTGTACACATACACACAGATGACCATATGCTTCAGAAGCCTGCAGGCCACATGGGCTGGCTGTAATGTAAACAGCTTCAAAGCTATTAGCGGAAAAGCCCCAAGGTGGTGTGTCTGTCCAGGCTGCTTAGTCCCCCTCCCTGTGGCCACTGGAGGCAGGGATGGGGGTGGACACAACACACAGGGTTCCTGGCATTTCTCCCCCTGTTCCTTGGGCCTCTGCCTGGCACTGATGCCTCAGGTCACCCATGTCCTATTATTTTCCCAAAGTAGTCTAGGACACGCTCATGGCTCCGTGGGCACCGGATGCACCTTGCACCTCCTCCTCCTTCCCTACCAGTCAGGTGATCTCTCAAAAATGACACCTTGAACGCGACAGGATCCCATATGGGTGCCAGTTCTGACCCTGGCAGCTCCACTTCCCATATAGCTTCCTGCCTGTGGCCTGTGGGAAAGCAGTCGAGGACGGCCCAAAGCTTTGGGAACCTGCACCCGCGTGGGAGACCCGGAAGAGGCTCCTGGCTTCGGATCAGCATAGCACCGGCCGTTGTGCTCACTTGGGGAGTGAAACATCGGACGGAAGATCTTCCTCTCTGTCTCTCCTCTCTGTATATCTGCCTTTCAAATAAAAATAAATCTTTAAAAAAAAAAGGACATACACAGAGTACAAATAAAGAGTTTCCTGTAATCTCCTCCTGAACAGTTTGGGGCGTACCCTTTCAGATCTTTTAAACTTGTGTGCAGTGCACTCATGCCACACACCCCCATCCCCAGGAAGACTCAGCACACTTGTTGGGAAGTGGGGAACCCTTAATCTGGTGACAAAAGGAGTGATTCAACTTCTCCAATTTTTAAATAAATAACCCTCTACCCTGAGCCTGGTTCCAATTCCTTCTTTTTAAATTTTGAAGAATTTGGGCTCAGCATGATAGCCTAGTGGCCAAGTCTTCACCTTGTATCCTCTGGGATCCCATATGGGTGCCAGTGTCCCAGCTGCTTCATTTCTCACCCAGCTCTCTGCTTGTATAGGATGGCCCAAAGCCTTGGGATCCGTGCCTCTATGGGAGACCCAAAAGAAACTCCTGGTTCCTGGCTTCAGATTGGCTCAGCTGCAGCCATTACAGCCTCTTAGGGAGTGAACCAACAGATGGATAATCTTTCCATATCTCCTCTTCTCTGTATATCTGTCTTTCCAATAAAAAATAAACAAATAAATAAAATAAAAAGATTTGAAAAATTTGAAAGACAGAGTGACAGAGAAAGGGAGAGACAGAAAAATCTTCTGTCCACTGATTCACTCCCCAAGTGGCCCAGGGGCTGGAGCTGAGCTGAGCTGAAGCCAAGAGCTTCCACCGAACTCCTACCTGGGCACAGGGGCCCAAGCCTTTGGGCCATCCTTTGCTGCTTCCTCAGGGGTATGAGCAGGGAGCTAGACCAGAAGTGGAACCCCTTGGACAGCCCGTCTGCTGTGAGATGCTGGTGTTGCAAGCAGGGGCTTGATCCCCTGTGCCTCAATGATCGCCCTTGCCACCCGCCTCTTATGCACCTCTGTGACACACTGGGCTGTCACAGGGTCTTGCTTCATGTATGTGAGAAGGACCTAAATGTTCCCTTGGGAAAGTCAGTGTGCTGGTCACCTACTGTCCAGCCCCAAGAGTCCTCTCAACACCTCCCTCTCCTTCAGGTACTACCACAGCATGGAGTACGAGACGGAGCTCGCGCCCCTCGAAAGCCCCACGCACCTTATGAAGTTCCTGTCAGAGAATGTGCCAGGGACGCCGGAATACCCTGATCTGCTCAAGAAGAATAACCTGATGAGCTTGGAGGGGGCCGTGCCCAGCCCGGGCAAGGCTGCTGCCCTACCCCCAGGCCCCAGCAAGCTGGAAGCCGGCTCTGTGGATAGCTACCTGCTGCCCACAAGTGATATGTATGATAACGGCTCCCTCAACTCCCTATTTGAAAGCATTCACGGGGTACCACCCACACAGCGCTGGCAGCCAGACAGCACCTTCAAGGAGGACCCACAGGAGGTGAGAGCCCACCTTGTGCCCCTCCTGGCATCCCCAGATTTGTGCATGCATTCATCCAGAAGGATGGAAGGCGTGGGGAAGTCAGAACCTGGCAGCAGTGCCTGTGCTGGGGCAAGGCTGCCATGCGCAGTGTTGAGTTGTGTATGTATAATCTGCACAGCTGTATGCGCGGCTCTAAGCTAAAAGCCGTGTAGCCTGAAATGGGGTCACTTATTCCTTGGGGATTGTGTTTCTCTGCAGTCACTGCTCTTCCCAGATATCCTGAAAACGTCCCCAGAACCATCGTGTCCCGAGGACTATCCTAGCCTCAAGAGGTAACTCAGCTTCTCTGGACCCTGGTCAGCTGGCAGTGGGCAGGGATTTGCAGGCAAAGCGCCCGTGCCCCTCCCGCCACACACACACACATGCACACACATGCTATCCATAAGCACAGGATGGAGATGGAGTGAAGATGGTAAAAGGAGGGAGTGAGCTTTCTGTTTGCCGACTGGGGCTACTTCCTGTCACAGTCTCCATGCTGGTTGGCCTTCGGTCTGTGCCAGGACTTTGCCCTCCCGCAGGGGTGTCTGACTCTCACCAGACCCTCATTACCCAGCAAGACTGGGGCTCAACAAAGCCATTAAACAGCCCCATGCGGAGGCTCCCAGAGTAGGGCCTCAACAGAGGCCCAGGCCCACTGCCTCACCATGCTCTCCTGCTTCCCCTCAGTGACTTTGAGTACACCCTGGGCTCCCCTAAAGCCATCCACATCAAGTCAGGAGAGTCGCCCATGGCCTACCTCAACAAGGGCCAGTTCTACCCGGTCACCCTGCGTACCCCAGCAGGAGGCAAAGGCCTGGCCTTGTCCTCCAACAAAGTCAAGGTGCGTTGGTCCTGGGGCACTGTGAGAAGATGTTGAACTTGGGGCATTGTAGGGAAGTGTTGGTCCTGGGGCAATGTGGGAAGGCATGGAGTAGGCAAGACATACCTGCCGCCTGGGCCTGCTGGGGACTCCAGAGTGACTTTTGGACATGAGGTGGGGAAAACCGAGCAAGGGGCAGTGTGAGCTGGGGGCTGCCTGGCCTCCCCCAGGGCAGGACTGATGGCGCCCCTCTTGCTTACAGAGTGTGGTGATGGTGGTCTTTGACAATGAGAAGGTACCCGTGGAGCAGCTACGGTTCTGGAAGCACTGGCATTCACGGCAGCCGACTGCCAAGCAGCGGGTCATCGATGTGGGTGAGTGCCTGCCCCCGGCCTGGGCTTCCTCCCCACACCCACGTGCCTGTCTCCAGCTCAGACAATGGTAATCAATTGATGGCAGAGACACAGGAACACCGTGGCCAGTTTCCACCTTGATCAGGAATGAGCGGGGTCTATCCGAGCAGGATCATCTGGTGTGGGATCAGGTGCATGAGATGAAGGTGCAGGTCGTAGGGAAGCTTACATGAGGGCAGTCCTGTGCTGAGAGCTGACATCTTCTGACTATTAGTAGGTAGTGGACAGATGAGAAGCCCCTCCCATATGAACTTCCTTGTCCCTATCTGGGCTCTGAGGCACAGCCCACTCTCCAGCCGTCCCTTCTTCCTGGCTCTGTGCCTTATGCCAGCTCCCCTTACCGGCCTCAGTTTGGACAGACATCAGAGCAAACAGGGTCTGCTCCCCACCTGCATCTTGAGCTGATGTCCACTCTGGAGCCAGGCCCACCGGAGAACAGGACACAGGAAATAATTCAGTTACTCACCTGAGAGGCTGGCTAGCAGAGTGGTTAGGGGCATGAGCTTAGGAGCCAGACAGACCTGAGCTGCCATCTTTGTTCTGCCTTTTATTAGCCATGTGACCTTGAACAGGCAGCCAGGCTTCTCCGGGCCCTATTTTCCCTCTGTATCCATTTAGTGTGGCTGTGAGAATAAACACTGTTAGGGTTCCAGCCACTGGCCTGGCTAGGACTACCAGTTCTGTTCTTGCTCCCTGTTTCTGCCCCCATATGCAGCATCACACTGTAGGAAGGAGTTTATGCACCACTCTTCATGCTATCAATTTTTTTTATTATTATTATTTGTTTGGAAGACAGTTACAGAGAAAAGGGGACAGACAGAGACAGAGAGAGCTCTTTCATCTGTTGATTCATTCCCTAAATGGATAAAGGGCCAGGGCTGGACCAAGATGAAGTCAAGAAGACATGAACTTCAGCCTTGGTCTCCCACATGGATGAATGGCAGAGGCCTAAGTACTTGGGCTGTCATTCATTTTTTTTTTTTTAATTTTTTAAATTTTTATTATTTTTTTATTGGAAAGGCGGATATATAGAGAGGAGAGACAGAGAGGAAGATCTTCCATCCGATGTTTCACTCCCCAAGTGAGCGCAACGGCCGATGCTATGCTCATCCGAAGCCAGGAGCCTCTTCCGGGTCTCCCACGCGGGTGCAGGGTCCCAAAGTCTTGGGCCGTCCTGGACTGCTTTCCCAGGCCACAGGCAGGGAGCTGGAAGGGAAGCGGGGCTGCCGAGATTAGAACCGGCGCCCATATGGGATCCCGGGCGTGCAAGGCGAGGACCTTAACCACTTGCGCCACCGCGCCGGGCCCTGTCATTCATATTAACAGGGGACTGAACAGGAAGTAGAGCAGCTAGGACTTGAACTGGTGCTCATGTGGGATTCACCTGCTGCTCCCAGTGTCAGCCCTGCCACCACCACCAGCACTGCCTTACAATCCCCAAGGAGCACAGAGAGGCCCTGGCCTGGCTGGCAGAGTGGGGGTCCCCCCTCCAGCTCTTTAGGCAAATCTGTCCCTCCTTCCCGCATGGGCTCCCTCCAGGTTGGATCTGCTCTCCTTGTTGAGATCCTGGGCACACTAGCTGTTTTCCTCCTGGATTAAGGCGAGGGTCTTGGTAGCGAGGGATCGGTGGGCAGGACCTGTGTTCGCCCTAAGAGAGGCTGGTTCCTAAATCCTTGCCCTGCCTGATGCCCTGTGCTTCCAGCTGATTGCAAAGAGAACTTCAACACCGTGCAGCAGATCGAGGAGGTGGCCTACAACGCACTCTCCTTTGTGTGGAACGTCAACGAGGAGGCCAAGGTCAGTGCTGGGGCCACGGGGCAGGGATGGGGCTGGGCTAGTGGGAGGCACCAGCCTGGGAGAAGGTTTACCTGCCCCTAGGATCATGGTCTTTGTTCTGAGGAGAGCATTGTTAGGGCGAGGGTCAGGTCAGGATTCAGTGATGGATCCAGGTCGGCACCGAGCCTCTCACTTCTAGCCCAGCAAATAGAGTGATCAGAGCCTCAGGCACAGACATGACAGGCAGAAGGCTAGACATAGGCCTGGCAGGTACTTCAGTGATGGCCACTGTGGTCACTGCAGTCTGTCCATGTAGCGGATAGGCACACCGAGCCTCGTGCAGGTCACTTAGCAAGCTGTTGATGGCACTTGCGCCCTCTGGTTTCCCAGCCAAGGCAGAGGGCGGCAGGAGAGATGCTGTGGAGTTTCTATCTGAGGATTCCAATCCCAGTGAGCTCACTTCTCCGAGCCTGAGAAATGAGAGCAGAAATTTGCCTGCTAATGTGGTAGGGAAAGTTCCAGGATCTTCTAGAATAGGCCCTGGCCTGGCAAAGAAGCCTAAGAGCCACTGAGGGCAGTTAACTTCCTGTGGGCAGTTAAGGCTCTTGCAGCCTCCATGCCTGAGGCCAGCCGTGACCTTGTATGGGCTTGTGGGCCTCTCTGCTTGCTGATTGGAGAACTGGCACCATGGAAGGACTCTGGTGTGGAGGTTGGGGACGGGCTGACCTTGGACCTGTCTACCAGGGCTAGGTTCTGTTCCTTTGGGGAATGGAATGCTTAAGACCACAGTGTCAGCAGGTAGGAGGCCGATCCTTGAGCACACCCCAGCCTGTCTGCCTGCTGCCTGCCTGGAGGTGCAGGAGCTAGAAAAACACACAGGAACTGCAACAGCCCGGGGTTAGCACTATTCAAATAGCTGCCAAGGCCTGGAGGAGGAGCGGGGCCTCAGGCCCCAGAGAGAGGCGGGCAAAGTTTCGTGGGAACGGAGAGGGGGTTTCGGTGGGGATTTTCTCACTCAGCTTCTTAAGCCCCCAGGCGCAGGCTGTCTCAGGTACCAGGTGGGGGGTGCCGCGCTGGGGCTGAGCAGGCAGTGGGGGAGGTATGTCCGGCATGTGCTGGGGTAGGGGTGCTAAGTCCCCCAGCTGGGAAGGAAGGGGGTCTGCCCAAACAGCCCATCCCCTCTCTCTGCCATTCAGATCTGAGCCATTCCTTGAGGGAAAAACCCCAAAGAACAGGAGCCAGCCTGGGGTAAGGTCCGGCAGGCAGGAGACCCTGTCCAGGGCTTGCCCAGCTGAGGCTGACCCCTGCTGGCATCAGAGGGGCCTGGGGGGTGAGGCACCCTGCCATCTCCTTCCCTGTAGTCATAACTGATCCAAACTAGCCACATGCTAGGTACACCCACACTCTGCACACACTCACAGCCACGAGAGGAACTGCGTGATGTCCATTTTACAGAGAGGGAAATCGAGGCTCACGGGGTTTCAGGACTTATCCAAAGCCACACAGTAGAGTCCAGCCTCCTCCTCATGGCCCTGTGGCCCCATGGCCCCATGGCCAGGCTCAATCTTTGCCACCCTGCTGAGCCTCTGGGTGTGAGCTGGAAGTGCATTTCACTGCGGGTCTGAGAGCAAAGAGTCTCTGGCTGGAAGGGTGGGGGCAGGTGGAGGGCATCCTGTCCTCCATCCTTTGTGTCCCTGGGCCTGCAGGGTCCTGGTCGCACTGAGCTACACGCAGGGGAACTTGGTCCCTTTCCGCCTCTGAGCTGCAGGAGAATGAGGATCTGACACGGAGAGGGATCTAGTGTCCTGCCCAGGCCTCCGCCCACTGGGCCTCAATTTTCCCATCTCTTGAAGGGGTCCAAGCTATTTGCCCATGAGGATTCTGAGTGCTCACCAGCCCTATGGCAGGATTGGCTGGCTAGACAGGGCCGGTGGGCTGGGCAGCCCATCCACGCAGCTGCTCTCCCTTCGCAGGTGTTTATCGGCGTCAACTGTCTGAGCACAGATTTCTCCTCACAAAAGGGGGTGAAGGGCGTCCCCTTGAACTTGCAGATCGACACCTATGACTGTGGCCCTGGCTCTGAGCGCCTGGTGCACCGCGCTGTCTGCCAGATCAAGATCTTCTGTGACAAGGTGGCTGGGCTGGGCAGCCCCTCCGCTGGCCTCGGGAGGGAAAGTGGCCAGATGCTGACTTGGCCTCCTGCCAGCCGTGCTGGGTGTGCTCGCTTTGTTTCCTGCTCTCCGAAGCTTCTCCGTTTTGCCTGTCTCTACCCCCTGTCGCTTCCTGAAGCTCCCTGTGCTTGTGCTGACCCCAGCCTGGGCTGCTGCCTTCCTGCTCCCTGGTTTTGCTCTGGGAGCTCTGGCCTGGCTTACAGATGCAGAGCAGCAGCCATGAGTGTAGCCTCCCCCTCTGGAGGCCCAGGGTGACCCCTTCCCTGTCCCCCCTACCCCATTCCCTATCCCAGGGAGCTGAGAGAAAGATGCGGGATGATGAGCGGAAGCAGTTCCGGAGGAAGATCAAGTGCCCCGACTCCAACAACAGTGGTCAGTGGGGGGTCTGGAGGAGGCACTGGCTGGGCTGAGGGGCTGCTGGAGGGCCTCAGTGGAGGGGCCTCAGGACACATGGCCCCCTTCTTCCCAGCAGGCATCAAAAGCTGCCTGCTGTCTGGCTTCAGGGGCAACGAGACCACCTATCTGCGGCCGGAGACTGACCTGGAGACCCCGCCGGTGCTGTTCATCCCCAACGTGCATTTCTGCGGCCTGCAGCGTGCTGGAGGGGTAAGGGCCCGGGGCTGGGTGGGACCCTATGTGGCCTGCAGCGTGCTGGAGGGGTGAGGGCCCGGGGCTGGGCGGGGCCCTATGTGGCCTGCTCTGGCACAGAGCCGTGGGGACAGTCTCCCAACCACCAACGGCAGCTCACTTCAGGTGTTTGGGAGCCCTTCTAAGAGCCTGAATCAGCACACCATGATGTATCATCTCCATGGTCACATGACTTCTGCCAGCTGGTCTGTCCCCAGAGTATAGATGAGGGGGTAGACTGAACAACTATGGCAGTGCCCGTGCTTGGGGCAGGCACCGGGGCTTCAGACTCCTGAGCCGCACATCTGAAGGCAGCTGCTGGAAGCAGGTGGGGGTGTAGGAATGGTCACAGCCACACTCGCTGCCCTCAGCCTTTCATGCCGCTTGAACCATCACAGCAGCCCCAGCCCACAGATGGAAGCACTGAGCTCAGAGAGGCCCCGGAGTCAGGGTGTCACAGAGCTGAGATCCGCACCCAGCCCCTGGTGCCAGCATCCCCGCTTTCACTGCCAGCTGTCTCATTCCTCTCGTTCACCCTCTGTACTTAAGACAGAGAGAAAAGTGGTGAGAGGCAGCAATCTTCCATCCTCTGATTTACTCCCCACGTGGTCCCAACAGCCAGAGTTGGGCCAGGCTAAAGCCAGGAGCCGGGAACTCTGTCTGGGTCTCCCACATGGGTGACAGTTGCCCAAGCACTTGGGCCATCCCCTGCTGCCTTCTCAGGTACATTAACAGGGAGCTGGTTGAGGGCAGAGTGGCAGGGCTTACATGGATGCTGGTCCTCAAACAGTAGCTTAACCCACTGTGCCACAACACCCACTCTTTCTGAGCCTCTCACAGTGAACAGGTGATCATTGAGCACCTGCTAGGCCAGGAGCCCTGAGTGCCATCATCTCACTCCTCCAAGTCCATCCATAGAGGGAGACATTGTGTTATCTCCTTTCCAGACAGGGTCACACAAGGCAGTGGCAGAGGCCATACTCCAGAACTTGTGTCCCATTTGCCTCTGTGGTCCATAGGCTGTGTCCTGCCACTGAGGGCTCTGTGGCACTAGCCACAGCAACAGACATGGCCTGGGTTGGAGATGTACTTAGTGCATTGATTTAGAACAGGGGATAGAGCAGGGTTAAGGCACCGTGGCCAGGTTGACAGCTACATGGCAACTAGATGGAGGCAGAAGAGGAAGGGACCAAGCTGCACCTGGGAGCCTAGAAGTGGGGAGGCCACAGTCGTCTCGCTCCAAGTGTGTCACCAGGGGTGGCTCCCTGCCCTCACTGGGCCCTTGGTGATGACTGTGCCCAACACAAGGCTGTCAAGCATGCAGTCATGCTCTAAAGGGCACCTGTCCCCTGCCAGCTGCAGGGCCAGGGGCAGTGCCCAGCAGTCGGGACACTCCAGCATCTCCTGTGTGTTCATTGAGCGTCCTGTCTTGTTGGCCGTGGGCTGAACGATTCCTTTCAACACAGGATCCCAGCTTCTTTAGGGGACTGGTCTGAGCGGGCTGAGCTGGAAAAACCTTAAACAGCTTCTTTCCCTTGCCCCCCAAAGAAGGTTCCTCCCCAAAGTCTCCAGCCCCTGATAGACGTGGTGTCTCTCTCTATTGCAGGCGGTCCCCTCAGCAGGACACAGCGGCTCCAACAGGTAGGGAGAGAAACAGCCCAGCACCCCTACATCCCTCCCACCGCCCGGGCCTCCCTTTCCTTCTGCTTTCCTCAATTTTGGGGCCCGGGGCTGGAGGAAACAGCCAGGAGATGCCTCTCCAGCCCCCAAGCTCGAGACGTGCTCCTTCTCCCACACCCCAAGCTGCACAGGACTTTTATGGGTTTGTTTTATGTGAAAAGTAGGCAAACCTCTGGCGAGACACCTGCTTGTAAAAGAAGACAGAAAGCGCCTGGGAGCCGGGCGTGCAGATTTGGGGGGCAGGAGGCCAGCTATGCTGTGGAGTCTTGGGCCCTCCCTTCTCCCCACTAGGAGGCTCCTGGGGGGTCAGCCACATCCTCTCTGAGCCTCAGCCTCCAAGTCCATCAGAGGCTGTGAGGCTAGCCTGGCAGGGGTGGGCAGATCTGGGGTTGGGGAAGGGCCTGTGCAGGGGCCTGTAAGCAGGAAGTGCGGTGTGGCTTCTTTTGTTCTTGCTCCCAGTGTCTTCCCTGGAAGCAGGTGCTCCCTTCAAAGGGCTTGCTCATGACACATTATGTCACCTGTCACCTCACAGCAGCCCTGGAGAATCACAACTTGGAAACTGAGGCTTAGAGACAGGACACGACTTGTCCCCAGTGGCACAGCCATTAAGCAGCAAAGGCAGGACTGGGACCTTCTGTCTGATTTCAAACCCACCATCCTTCTCTTCCCATTGAACGATGGTGCTGGTGATCCGTCTGCCCTTGCTGAGGCCCGGCTGTACGCCACACCCTGCGTGGGAGCCACAGCGCGTGAGCTTGGCCTCTTTCTGAGGTCGTGTTGCTGTGAGTCTGTCTTCACACCCATTTTATAGACAGAGTCACTTGAGGCCAGACAACTCCCCCCCACGTCACATGGCCTGTGTGCGGCAGGGCTGTGATTTGAGCCTAGGGAGCCCAGCTGCAGGCCAGCTAGTGACTCGAGCTGTTGTCATGTCACTTTGTGCCCATCCTCATCTGGCCTTCGCTGCTCCAGGGTCCTCACGAGTTGCCCCTCACTGTCCCCACAGGTTGCCGCTGAAACGTTCGTGTTCGCCTTTCCCAGAGGACTTTGAGCCCCTGCCCTCCAAGCAAGCCAAGGAAGAGGACCTGCAGCGAGGTAGTGGGTCCTCTGGCCAAGGGGACTTTCCCAAGGCCGCAGTCCTGGTGCTAACAGCGGCCGGGCAGGGCCAGCCCTGGTGGCCTGCCATAGGGTCTGCTTGACTTCCTGGAGCTGGGTTCGGGCCTTGCCCTGGGGTAAGGGTGGGGTGCCTGCAGCGGCTGCCCCAGGGCTGAAGGGCTTTGGTTACAGACCCTTTGCAGAAATGAATCCCTCATGAAAATACCTTTTCTTGAGCCCCCCCCCCCCCGAGATGGTCCTGAGCCCATTCCTTGCCCCACCACCTCAGCACCCCTGAAAGTTGCCTTTTTTCTTCAGTTCTGTTGTACGTGCGGAGAGAGACAGAGGAGGTGTTTGATGCCCTCATGTTGAAGACCCCGGACCTGAAGGGGCTGAGGAATGCGGTGAGACACCTGCCCACCCTGGCCAGACCCCTGCTGGGCCCCTGGGCCCTGCTCGCCCCCACATGGTCTCACTTCCCACGGCAAGGAGCTGGGAGGGAAGGTACTAGAACGTGGGCTCTCTGAGGCCTACGTGTTCCACTCCATCTAGGGGGTGGCTTTGGGTCCTGCTAGGGGGGCTGAGCCTGTGCGATGCTATCTCCCAGCCAGAGCCCCGGCTCCACCCTGGGCGGCGCACACATCATAAATCCTCTCTAATCTGATGGCTGCTGTCTGACAGGCCAGGGCTTTTGTTGGCTTTGCAGACCTGTTTCTGTTTTAATGGGAATGAAACCCAAAAGGCCAGGCCCAGAAACTTTTTTTTTTTCTCTTCCCAAGGGGCCCATTTCTCCAGCATGTGGTTGGCTAGGGGAGCCAACTGGGGTGGCTAAAGGTGGTGTCTGAGTAGAGCGATCTCCCCTAGTCCCTGAACTGCCCTTGAGTGGGGAGGGAGGGCAACCTGGCCCTGCACAAATCCCACAGCCAGCTCACAGCCCTGCTGTGTGGAATAAACACAGCCCCTCTGGGGTCAGAACTACGACCAGTGTGGACCACCCAGAAGAGCCGTGTAGTTCCCAGATGCTGGCATGGGAGGCAGAAGGACTCACACACTGGTTCCAGCTAGCTCGTAGAGCACTGTGCCTCCATTCTCTGAATTTGAACAGCAGGTGCCTGGCAGGGTGACTTTGCTTGGCTGGTAGGGTAGCCCGGGATCCCAGCATTCTGTTGTACTATCCTTGTCACTTCCAGCCAGCCCTATTTGCCAACAGCTGCAGGGAGCTCGACGAGCAAGGGGCCATTCATGTCACTTTAGGTTACACACAGATTCTTGGAGCTCCTGGGGTCAGCTTCCAATTTGGGGCTTGGGCTCGATTTGCAACTGTTCTTGACTTGAATACTTTTGGGGTTGGAGAGCACACTTCCTTCCTGGGTAGCCCCCCTGCCCAGGATTATCTTTACCGTTTGTTCAGCTGATGGCAGGAGGGTCCCTCAGTCCTTCCTTGGATTGACTGGAGAGCTCACTGGTAGTTTTCAGCCTCTCTACTGTGAAACCACATGTCTAAGGACTTTCCTGACTGAGGGATTGCTGTCCAGGCATCGGAGGACCTGAACCTGATCCTCTTTAGAATGCCCGGAGAGGACACTCTCCCTGAACCAGAGGCTCAGGTTCTCGGCAGCTTCAAGGCAGAGCTGGTCCTGCCTAGCCCCTTGCTTTCCAAGCCCTGGCCACTGCCCGGGCCTGGCCTGGAGCCCTTATATAACTATCTTAGTGCCCCGGGTACACACCCCTTTACTATGCCTATGTTTACAAACGAAGAAACCAAGGCTCCAAAAAAAGTTAGGTGACCTGTTGAGAGTTCCCTAACTCCAGGTGGCAGCCCTGGAGTCCAGACACATCTGTCTGCCTCAGAGCAGACTGCGGGAGCTCTGGGGAGGGGCAGGCCGCAGCTGCCTGTGCAGGTACCGGAGGGTCACTCTGCGAGCTTGCGAGCTGCAGTCTTGGGATGTGATGACATTGGCTAAGATGGCTTTTGGGCCTTGACTGCACACCTTAGCATCCCTAAGCTCAGCGATGTACCTGTCGATGGTGAACAATCCTGTCTAGGAGGAGGAAATGTTGGGGTGAACTTTTTGAAGTCCCCTTGCCTATTACAATCAGGAAATACAACATGGATGCCAAGCCAGACTGGAATATAGACAGTGACCCCCCGCGCCCACCCCATTTTCCTCTTCCAGATCTCTGAGAAGTATGGGTTCCCCGAAGAGAACATTCACAAAGTCTACAAGAAATGCAAGCGGGGGTAAGTGCCTGGCTCAGCCGCCTATACGCTGGCTTTCTGCACCGCGGACAGCTTGAATGTGGCCTTTCTGGAGTGGCTGCGGGGATGTGACATTAGGGTACAGACTCGCCAATCAGATCAAGGCCACTGGTCACCCCCCAACTGCAGAGGCCAGTCACAGGCCACCATTAGGAAGGGTGGGAGCAGGAAGAGGACAGCAGGTGCTTTATACACGGCCTCCTTGGGTGGAATGTACAAGGTTGTACCAGAATACCCAGGTTCAAGTCCCAGCACCACAGGATTGCCAAGACATTGGATTATGCTGACTTGACCACCTACTATGTGTCAAATACTAGGCTGCTTATCCCATCTAATTTTCATGGTCCATGCTCTTACCTTTTACCATACAGGAAGGGAAACTGAGGCTCAGGGATGAGACTCAGAAAGCAGGAGCAGTAGAACAAAGACATGTTGACTGGGAAGTCCAGCACGACCACTCACAGATGAGCTAGGCCAGGATGAGTGTGGCTGGTGTCAGATCTGAAGGGGGTTGTGTGTTTCCCCATCAAGTTTCGGTTTCAAACTGGGGCCTGTGCACTCCTGGTAGCAGAATCCACTCAGTGAACCATGCAGGCTGAGTTCTGCCTAGACAGGCCCAGCCCTTCTCCCACTCAGGGCCGGGCCCCTGCCCCCATTCCAGCCCCACGCAAGTAGGCATCCCCTGCAAAGGCTTCCAGAAGGAAGGCAGGGAAGGCCCATGCAGATGCCCCCGGCCCCAGTGGCTGTCTCAAGAGGCTTTCCCTTAACAACAGTCCACATTCAGCTCCCAGGGATGAACCACAACATCCATGCAGACAGCAGTCCCTGCCCTTAAACATCACGGGAGTGTACAAGGTCATGAGGCAGCAACAACAAGAATCTCTGCAGGCCAAAGTGTGTGCCACTTTGCCTCGCCCCCTGCTTCGTCCTCTGACCGCTAAGGAACACGCAGGTTAAGGCTCCGGCCAGCCTGCCGGGGAGTCACACAGCATCACTCAATGGCTGTGAGGACATCCCAGCATCCCCTGCTGCCCCCACCTACCATGCACCCCTCCCCATGCAAATCTCAGCCTCGGGGCCATCAGCAATGTCTGGATGAGAATAATCTCCAAAAAAAAAACCCTCTCAGAAGAGGGGGAGGCTAGGTACACCTGCTGCTGCCTCTCTCGGGGTCCTCCTGTGGGAACTGGAAAGCTCTGAGTGGCTCGGTTTATTTTCACAACCCCCGCCCCCCCTCCCCGAAAGTGCTGTGGACAAAGCAGATAGCATCAGCCTTACAAGCACCGGTGAGTGCCGGAAAGATTAACAAATACATTGTTTTTGCTGGCAGCCAGCCAGAGGTTTAACGTGACCCAGGGCAGAAGACAGCTAGGAGCTGGGAAGTGACAAGAGGCCCACAGGCGGTGACAGCGCTTCCTGGCAAGCCCCTGCCTCTTGGGGGCCCAGCTGTCACTGACCTCCAGGGCAGGGTCCTACAGGCCTGGCTGGGATCCCTTCTGTGCAGTGTGAGATCGCAGCCTGCTGGGAGGCCCTGACAGAAAGGGGAGGGAGCCAGCCTTCAAGTTGCTGCATGCAGGGCACTTCCCTGGTGTGCAGCACCCCGAAACTCCCAGTAAGCATCGCTGGAGGAAAGAGACAAGTGAAACAGCCCTCATGGTGCCCTCCTCCCCAAGCCCCCCACTCAACCCTGGTTTCCCCTACTCTGTTCCCAGCCCCCAGCCCCTGGACAAAGCTCTCTCTGTGAAAGACAGGAACTGCAAACAGGATCTGAGCACAAGGGACCCTATAATTACACCTTGGCAGAGAGTGTGAGCCTAGAGCTTCCTTTTGGAAGCAGCAGCCGCTTGGATGGTATCGGCACAGACCAATGGACACAGGCTGCGGGCTCCCCACCCTCTCCCCCATGGGGTCCTCCTGAAAGCAGATTTTGCCCACGCATCCCCTGCATTGTGCACCTGCCTTCTCCCTGCCACTTCCTAACATGTGTTCCTAGGGCTGTGTGTGCCATTGCCTCCTGAAAACTCAACCCAGTGAAAAAGAGGCAAAAGATTGGGTTCAAATCCCAGCTCTGCTATCTGCTCACAGTGTGACCTTGGGGCAGTGACTTGGCCTCTGTGAGCCTCAGCTGCCCCATCTGTGGCCATGAGGACTCAAGCCCCTGTCCCTCTGGATTCTGAATTCTCAGAGGGCAGCATCTGGAGCCCATGCCTCTCCACACTGCCCTCCGTTTCAGAGCAAGGCCTGGTCTGTGGGGAGGCCTCAGCAAATGCCAGGGGACTAAAGGGATGGATGGATGGATGAAGGGTAGGTGGACAGGTGGCTAGATGAGGGGTAGATGCAGGGATCGGGGATGTAGGATGAGGAGGGCAGGTGGGCTGAGGTGCCCAGCTTCTGCACATGCTCAGAGGGCATATGGGGTAGAGCCAGGAGAAAGTGGGCATGATCCACTCAGCTCACATCTTGGCAGACCCTTCATTAGGGAGTCAGTTTCCAGAGAGACGCCCTCTGCCATGCACTATAGCTGGCACCTGTAAGAGGTTCAGCCTCTCTGTTTGACCTCAGTTCCTGCCTGGAGGGTGGGAAGAGTCAGGGAGCCCAACCCCTGAGACTTATAGGATCCACACAGTCCAACCCCAAGATCTCAGCTTCCTGGGAGGGGGCCGTGTGACACCAGCCTCTGGCTCAAAGAGACAGAACCCAGTGACGCATGGTAGCCTCCGGCTAAACTCAAACTGCCACACCCCCTGGACTTGAACTCTGGGAGTCCTCGGGAAGGTGACTAAGGCACCCTGCATCTCTCCCACCACCTGTGTTGTGGAGGGTCCACGTGTCCATGTGCAGTGGGAGAGCAGTGCTAGAAGCAGGTGTAGACCTGGCAGTCAGCAGGCCTTGGTTTGAGCCTCACTCCCACCAAGTTGGGGAGAGGAAGCTTCAGGGTACCCACCTTGCCAGGACAACGTGAGAGTTTCCAGGAATGCTGTGGGCATCCGCCTAGCCAAGTCACTTGGCTTTGTCGGGCAGAGTCTGAAAGCCAGGGGATGGGATGTGGGGAATGCCATATTCCAACCATGTCTCTCCTTCTCTTGCAGAATCCTGGTCAACATGGACAACAACATCATCCAGCACTATAGCAACCACGTTGCCTTCCTCCTGGACATGGGGGAGCTGGACGGCAAGATCCAGATCATCCTCAAGGAGCTGTGAGGCCCGAGTCGCCCATCCCTGGGGCCTAACGGCGCGGGCTCCAGGCCAGGAAACTGCTGGGCAGGGGCCCCCTCGCCACACACCACAACCTCTCCAAGCGCCTCAGTGCTGTTACTTGAATGCCTTTCGTGATGGAAGGGGTCCTTGAGCCGGGAAGAGGCTTTGGCAGTCCTCTGATCCAAACCCCCCTTGGCATGCTTGAATCCGCTTCCAGAACACCCTGCCAGCACCTGCCCACTCTAAGGTGGCACCATTTCAGTCACCACCTGTCCCACAGACTCTTTTTTCCTTCTGAGATGCTTTGCTGCATCAGTCTTGCCTTGCCCACTTGGACAGAGGACACCCACCCTCTTCCCTACAGTGTCATATTAGCTGACTCCATTTAGGTCCAGCCCCTATTCTAGATTCTTCTGTCAATTTCAGCCCAAAGATTTCTCACCTTTTGGTCGATGAACTTGAAACCTCTTGATGTTCCTGTGGAAACAGTCCCCTTCTTACTCAATGCCAGATGTAAATACCAGAGCTGATTGGAACAAAGTGACTACTGCATAGTTATTGTCTTGCCTTGTCACTGTTGTACACATTTCTTATTTACGATTTTCATTTATGTTATATATAAATATATATTGTATATATATGTAACATTTTATATTTTTCATGGATACATTTTTATCATTTCAAAAAATGTGTATTTCACATTTCTTGGACTATTTTTTTTAGCTATTATTCAGTTATGTATTTTGTATACTCACGGGGTATTTAGTAATAAAATCTACCTATGTATGACTGCAAACACTGCACTGGTTTCTTTTGCAAGGGTCCTCTAGGATGTGAGGGTTAAGGCAGGTGAGGCCTCTCTCCCATTTGTCTCTGCACTTTACCTCCTTCCTGGGCATGGCATGCCCCAGACTTGAAAGGCAGCTGCGAATCTTGGCACAGGTGGAACCAATGTGTACACCCAGAAAGGACGAGACTCTGACACCCAGGACTCAGTCCTATGGCCCCCACAAGGCTGACCATGATAACCTTGGAAGTCCTGGGGAGAGTCCAGCATGACCTTGAGGGAGACCTCGAGGCTATGCCAGGGGCCAGTGCCCAGGGGTGAGGGTTGTGAGGCCTGAGTTTCTGGCTAACTCTGCTGGATGCTAGAGCTAAGTCACAAAGGCCACTGGTTAACGGTGGCCTCTTGTTGGCATCCCAAGACTACTTCTCCAGCTATGGTGGGTGTCTAGACCACAGACACTGAGAAATGCTTCTGGCAGCCAAGACCTTTATTTGTCCTCTCCTCCTTCCCTACTTACACACATGATCAAATGCAGTGCATGGTCTGCACTGGCTGTTTGCTGGTGAGGCTCACAGGCCCCAACCATGTTGGGGTGGGGAATGGCAGCAGGCAGCCCCCAAGTGTCCTGACTCTGTCACAGCCATGGTCCTCTCCTGTACCTTGAGCAGCTGAGTAGAACTTTTCAGAAGGATGTGAAAGTTATAGATGCCTCAGAGAACCTCACAGCTCTACCATGTCTATCTCCTCATTCCTGAGCCTTGCCTGGAGTTGGGCAGAGTGAGGGCCCAGCAGCAGAGGCGGCAGGCATAAGAACCAAGTTTACCCAGAGCACTCAGGGACAAGAGCCTGGGGCGATGCAATAGGCTTTTCAATTGAAGGCACAAAAATACATCCCACCGTGGACATCTGTTTTTCAGTATCACCGATGTCCCGCTTTGCCTTGGGTTCCCATCATGCCTTGCACAGCTGGAGAAACCCTATGGAGCACCAGAGTTGTGCAGTTGGTGAGACCAGAGCAAGGCGGAGGTCAAGGTTAAACAATCAGGAATGCAAAAGAGCAGTGCCATGCTGCGTGTCTACATAACGCTCCTCCACCAGAGCCAGCTGGGAGGCCCGAGCCTGGGGCCTCTCCTCCCACATGGTAGAAGAGTGTAATGGGGCCACGTTCACCCCAGCCCTGCTCCCCACTACATCTACCCTTGTGGGCGGGGCCCAGACATCCACCAGTATTCTTTACAGTTCCCCAGTTGTGCAGTCGTGGCTGATGGCATCTGCTCTATGGAAGCCACGGGTTTGCAGGCCCTGGAGCCCCAGGAATTTCTCAGGGTCTGATGGACTGGATGTGTGCAAGGATGAAGTAGCACAGTGCAGAGCCCTGGCCACCCGCACAGCCTCCAGCATAGCCGCTAGAGTACTGTGGAAAGTCTGAGCTGCTGAGGCTGGAATATTGGCACAGCAGGCTAAGCCTCTGTCTGTGGTACCGGCAGCCCATACGGGCACCAGTTTGTGTCCTGACTGTTCTACTTCCGATTCAGCTCTCTGATTATGGCCTGGGAAGGCTGCGGGGAAGAGCTCAAGTCCTGAGACCCCTGCTCCCACAAGGGAGACCTAGATGCTCCTGACTCCTGGCTTTGGATCAGCCCAGCTCTGGTTGTTACAGCCATTTGGTTATGAACCAGTAGATGGAAGATCTTTCTCTCTCCTTATCTCTGTGTAACTCTGTCTTTCAAATAAAAGTAAATCTTAAAAAGAAAGAGAGAGAAAGAGGAGACTGTCCTGCCTAGGAAGGCCACTTCAAGTCCACAGGAGTGTTGCAAACCCAGGAGCTTTGGTATTCCCAAGGCAGGTACTCTGCAGACAGCTGGTCACCTTCACAAGGCAACTGCTAACTGGCAGTGGAGAGGACATCAGCTCCCATGGGGAGATAACTTACTTGACTGGTAACTTACACCTCAGGAGGAAAGCAGGAGGAGGGGGTGCTGACCACAGGCAGGGAGGAAGGACAGGAGCAAGGACAAGCAAGTAGATGAGCAGAGAGAAACTCAGCTGAAGAGCTGCCAGGCTCAGATCACCTGTGCATGCTGTTCCTGGACCAGCAGCCCAAGCCTCGCCCCAGCCTTACTGAGTCCACACATTCAGATCTCCCAGACACTCACTCAGGGTTCAAATTTGGGAACTGTTTTATTCACTATCCTGATCCTAGCCAAACATATAACCAACACACACACACACACACAAAAAAAAAAAATTAACAAAGATACGGACACCCAGCACCTGCTTCAGATCAATAAAATGTGAATTTAGACGGCTAGGACCTGGGCATGCCTACAGCGACCCCCATGTCCAGTCAGACTCTAAGAACTCCTTCCTGGGATGGACAGAGCCATAGGCAACCTTGGCTAGCTTAGGAGTTATTGGGTAGGCTGGAGTCTGACTGGCTGAGCTTGAGGCTGGGACCCAGCTGCTGTGGTCACAGACCGGATTCTGATTGGCAAAGGGCAGTCCTGCCATCTCCCCTTTTCACCCCATAATTTTCACTCTCTCAAACCCTCCCCAGAGGGGACTCCTGGAGAGATAGTTTCCGATTGGTACAGTCAGCAAAGGGGAAGGCGTGCGTCTGTGAGCAGTCCCATCAACCTTTGCCTGCAGTGACCCCTTGGTCCCTTAGGGTCTGCTAAAGCTACTGAGAGAGGCTGAGGTCAGGCAGACTTAGAAACTGAAGTCTCAGATTCTGGACCCATTGCTGAAACTGGGATCAAAGATACAGCTCCAGGCCCGGCGTGGTAGCCTAGTGGCTAAAGTCCTCACCTTGCATGCGCTAGGATCCCATATGGGCTCTGGTTCTAATCCTGTCAGCTCCACTTCCCGTGGCCTGGGAAAGCAGTCAAGGACAGCTCAAAGCCTTGGGACCCTGCACCTGCGTGGGAGACTCAGAAGAAGCTCCAGGCTCCTGGCTTCTGATTGGCTCAGCTCTGGCCCTTGCATCTTCCTGGGGAGTGAACCAGTGAACGGAAGCTCTTCCTCTCTGTCTCTCCTTCTCTCTGTATATCTCACTTTTCAATAAAAATAAAATAAATATATATTTTTTTAAGGTACAGCTCCAAGGGTCAGTTTTGAAGGTCCTTCCAAAATGACAGCGGCTGGCCCCCAGAGGTGTCTTTTAAGACCAGGAGTGGGGAATCTTTTCTTCTGCCAATGGTGACTTGAATTTATAGATCACCATCCTGTGGGCCATGCAAAATTAATATCAAAGTTAGCCTGCCGTGGGGGCCAGCACCGTGGCATAGCAAGCTAATCATCTACCTGCAATGTTGGCATCCCATATGGGCACCAGTTTATGTCCCAGCTGCTCCACTTACCATCCAGTTCCCTGCTTGTGGCCTGGGAAAGCACTAGAGGATGGCCCAAAGCTTTGGGACCCTGCACCCATGAAGCTCCTGGTTTCAGATCGACTCAGCTCTGGGCATTGTGGACATTTGGGGAGTGAACCAATGGATGGAAAATCTTTCTTCTCTTCTCTGTGTAACTCAATCTTTCAAATAACAATAACAAACCTTAAAAAGAAATTAGCCTGCCAATAGATGTATTGAATTTCAAATCCCACCTGTGTTACCTTGACAGAGCCAGAGCAGGAGTTTTTTGTAGCCTTGAACAGTCTGTGGGCCCGGGGTCCCCACCTTCGCTTCAGGCCACTATTAACTTTCAAAGTCACCAACATCTAAGATCAAGAGATTCTCTAGACTTCACTGCAAGAGCTGCAGGTCTGGCAAAAGCTGGCTGGGGTGTTCCTGGACATCCTTTAGCCAGCAACAGCCTCAGTTCCCGGCATCCCAACCCCCCCTTGGCCTCAGAGCCCTCAGCTCCCCACTTTGAGCAGCAGCGAAGGACCTGAGCCGTCGGAAGTGCGCTGTTCCTGCCCTACCTGCCCCACCTCACCACTCACCTCCCTTATCAATCCAAAGCCATGGGGCTTTTTCCTGAATCTGAAGTTCACAAACAGGCTAGCTTTTGTGCAAAGTGAGAATTCTATTTAATTGGCTGCTATTCCATCCTTCTCCCCTTTGCCTCCCGCACCATCCCCCCAGGAGGAGGAGAGGGAGGCAGACAGCAGTAGTGACTGGAAGGCCCAGGCTGCAGCATTCAGGGAGCACAGGAGAGGCAGGGGGCTATAAGGGGCCTTGACCTTGCTAGGGACCAGGGACTGGGGAGGGAGGGGGCGTGTGCCCAGCAGGAAGGTGGTGCCCAGGAAAGAAGGACCACGCCTGGT